GGGGAAACGACCACCTCCCTCAGGCAGACCATGTTCCAGGCCATGTTCACAGAGTTGATCAACCGAGCCGGCAAGCTGAACCTGACGGCAAAAGAAGACGCACTGGTCCAGGGCCTCAAGGCCAAAGGGATCCTGACCGAGGATCTGAAATGGCAGTACTTGTCATGGAACCCGGAAGCCAAAGCTCTACAGCCGAACCAGAAGACTCCTCTGACGTCGGACGACGTCTGTCAGACACTCCGTCGGATCCATCAGCTGGGCGAGAATCCCAATTTGGTGCTGAAATTTGCAGCCTTACGACCTTTGACGCAAGACAGTCTGCCGCAGGACGCCGCCATAGCCATCCCTTGGAGGCTGGATGTGAGCCTCCGAGGACCAGAAGCTCAGGAACTACATATGCTCCTGCTCAAGCTGGCCGGCAACGGCATTACACAACTCATCCTTATGAGGATGCGGCAAACCACGTTGCAGCGATCGCCACTGGCGGTTGCCATCTCCCACAGATTGCGCAAGTCCTGAGAGGCATCATGACGACCAGCCTTGTGAATCCAGGATCCATGTGCTACTTGAACAGCACTTTGCTGGCTCAGGTATGGACCACCCTTTTGACGACACCACTCGAGCTTGATACTTGGGGAGCATGGACGCAGTCAATTTTTGTGCATGTTCACTACACATGCTGGGGAGGCTCACAATCCATGCCACATTTCGATTTTAGGTAGCATGCTCACAGAATGGTTTACCTCTCATGCCAAGACTGCGCAACATGACGCAGGCGAATTTGCAAGTTGGATGAGAGCTCAGATGTTTGAAAAGAAGTTGATGCCTGAGGGGATCCTCACGATCCATGCATGGGATTCACGACTGTTCACCACCACCGAAGACAGCGGTTCCCTCATTGCCCCCATTGTGCTCCGTGACTTGCCTGAGGTCCAGACGACTCTGCAAGACGTGATCCAGCAGTGGCATCACCAGGGCCCATGGTTGAATGGGCTGAGATCCGCAAGTTCTTGGGTTTGTTTGCAACTGGAACGTCATCCAAGGTTGCACCACCGCCACTGTCAGGCCATCACGTGGGATAGGAACCGCATTCAGCTCCCTGCCTTCGATGGCTTCAATCACTGCTCCATCACTTGGACGGAGTATCAGATCGTGGCAGGTGTCCTTCACCTCGGTAGCTCACCTGTTGAAGGCCACTACCAGGCCGTTTTGTTCAACTCAGGAGCTGGCCTTCTATGTGACGACAGCTGCAGGCCCAGACGACTCACTCGGGATAGATCCTTCTATGAAAACATCTACCTGATCTGGGCGGCTCCAATGGCTGCAATTGGCCCAGAATTTCGACGCCCGCTTCCATGGCATTCGGCAGACACCCTTGGCAATCTCATCTCTGAGCACCTGGGTTGAAAAGACCTTTTGCACTTGATGGGCCTTTCGATCCTCACGAAGGAACCACAACTAGCTTGTGCGGCCCAACACGGGCGGATCGACCTCGACCGCCGGCAGATGAATGAATGAATATGAAATTATGTATATTTTATATTTTAGATATTGATATAAAATATGATAAAATATGTTATAAATTAAATGAACAAACATATTTTTCGATAATATTAAATAATTGATTTTGATAAATATAATTTATAGATTTAATTTTTTGTAATTTAATATAAAAATATATTTTATATCTATTTTGGATATATAAAATATTTTTATTCTTGAATATTTATATTTAATATAGGATTTAGTAATAAAATAGATTTTAAATAAATATATTGTATATAAGATTTGAATTTAACTATATTTTAATTTTCTGTGATTAATAATGATTTCTTGATATTTCTATTGTTATCTATATATTTTTGCGGATTAGAATTTGCATGTTCTATGAAATATAATTTAGATTTAAAAAATATTGTTAATATTTAAATGTTCGGCTATTGAATCCGGAATTGTTTTTTTATTTTTGTTAATTTTTTGTTATTTGAATTATTAATTAAATATATTTTTGTATTTGGATTAGATTTTTTATATATATTTAATAATTAATCTAAATCATTCCCCACCAAGACATCGTCCCATTATACGAATTGCATTATTGAATCAGATTTTGTCCCATATATATAATCTAAATCTACATATTATCTATCATGGGAAGGAATTTTATAAAGATTCATTACGAATATACCTCATACGACGAATAGAAACGAAAATAAGATATTAATGCATCAATTTTCAACATCAATGTATATATATATATAAAATATTAAAATATATAAATGAATAAAATTATAGGATTATTTTGGTAAAATAAATATAAGATATATTAATTTTAATAATTTAAAATTAAATACATTAATTCATTAATTAGGATATTACCTGATGATTAAGAATTCAAATATGATTCTATTTTAATATCCAGTTGTATATTGCTAACGAAGATTGGAAAGGAATTATTTCTCCCCCCTTATCGAATAATGGAATCTCTGTATAGATCTGAAATCCTTGGATTTATCAATTTATCCAATTATCAAATCAATATAATGCAACAACCCGACTACTTCACCGTTCCAAGATATAAATCCAAACAATCTTCTTTATATGGACCAAGATATCGTACCTCCCCAATGCGTAACACCAAAAAGGAAGATCAACGAAAAAATCCAACCAGAACGAAATGGCTTACATGGTTGGAATGCCGGCCTCGACCATGAGAATCACGAGTTGATTGTGCTCGGTTGTTTCTCGAACATAATTTCCAAATGAATCATCTATATATTCAATATATCTTATAGATCAATCCTTGACAGACATATGTAGAGTTGCACCTAATAACAATTGAGCGGATGCCTTGACCTGAATTTGCATGGCATCATTAAGATCAAAAAATTATTTAAAATGATTCTATAATTATTATCCATGATAAATGAATTCGAATTTTTGATATTGGATCTTGAATTTATTAATATCCATTTGCATTGCATCGTCATCCGATTGTTTAGCCTCCAATTTCTCTGTCAATGTTTTAATTTATTCGGAGAACAATTTGTTCTGAGAACGAATTGTTTAGCCTGCCGTGCCATTGGTCTCTATTTTAAAAAAAGGTGACCCTTAGGGACAGATATATATATATATATCGATTCCAAACATCTTTTAATTTTTCACGGATCAATACCTGATATCCAATATCATATCCCGTAGATCGGAATTGACCGCAAACGAAAAAGATGCCTCTTCAATCTATTGCAATATCCTGGATGAAATTTATATTAAAGTCCTTATATGAGATTATTTCTTTTTCAATTTTTTAATTAATAATCATAATCAAATCCAAATCCATCCGAAGAAGAAAGATATTAAATAAATTCTCTGCACCAATTATTCCGCATAAATAGATTTAAATTAATATAAAAAACATATTACCCATTTCCAAACAACCAAGAATCAACCACCTTATTTTTATATATATCGAACAACAATAATCCAATTTCAAAGATATCAAAATCGAATATAAAATAAAAAAAACATTCGGAATACCGTATTTTCATTAGAATATTTAATCATCATCAATATAATATTTCTAAAAAAAACAATCTTGGCGAATATAAAAACATCATCCAATAAAATTACTACTATTAATCAAATAATAATATCAAATATATGATTTTTAATATTTTTCATTATTTATTTCAACAATTATTATATTATATTGATTAATTTAATTAATCTATATTTCAAATCATTTATTAATTAAATAAATTAATTCGTTATATCGAGAAAAAGAAAACTATAATAATCATTCCATCCCCATAATCCTTCATTTATACCCAGAAATTGCACGCCAAAAATATCTTTACCAATTCCAAATCAAATCCATTCCATCTATTATATCAAAAAAATATCTATCCAATTCCGATATATATAATCGAATATATACCGAAAAAATAATACGTAACCTATTCCATTTTACACTTGAGCGGGGAAACACGAAAGGTAGAGACGGACCGGGTAGTTGTCGGGACCTTTTCTGGTGAGGGATTGTTTTCGGTGTTTCAGGAATATTTCCCTTAATCAATCATGGATGAAACCATCAAAATCAAAGAGCGCTCAAAAGGAACCCCGTTGCAATCAAAATGCGCCACGCGGCTGTGCAAAGAGGCTACGTTGCGTCGACGCTCGTCTATGTAAAAATGTGGGAAAACAGGTGCATAGAAAAATCGCAAAGCAAAAACATTCGCATATTAACCAATTATGGTTCCCCAATTATACGCATTATATAAGCCTGCACGCGTTGCGTCGAAGTCACCGATTTTTCCAAAGATCGACATTACATTATAATACGTGGCCGTTGCTATCGAATAATATAATATAAAAATGTAATATATGCTATATTAAGCTGCCGGATGCGTATGCATAATATCGAAATCATATTAGAAATATTAATGTAGATTTAAAAAAAATAATATATATACAGAAGAAAAACAAAATACAACATAATTAATATATCAATAAATTATCAAAAAAACAAAAAATAAATTAATCATATTAATCTAATTTTTAATTCCAAACAAACTTTAAAATCCATTCCTTTACTTCGCAAAACAAATTCAAAATAATCCTTACCAAACTACCTTTCGTAATTAATATTCGTCAAAATCAATCCATTATTATTTCCAAATATCCATTAAAAAAATAATCATCTTTTCCTCAACGATAAAATATAATCAATAGCAACCTTCATATTATTATAAATCATCCATCATATTTATAATAATATTAATCGGTCCAACCTAAAAATTAAATCATTCATTAATTACGAAATTATTTCGAAATATATATATCCACACAACCAAAATATTCAAAGATGCAATTATTATATATATATATATATTTAAATATAAATATTCCATATAATTTGGGAATCAATTCGATATTCATTCAATTTTTTTTATTGATATTAATTAATATATTCATTATTCATTAGGATTAATTCTTTATTTTTGGTGTTCTGCCTTTCGTCCTGTCTGCCCCATTCAATTCTTCTTCTTTTTCTCAAGTTTCTTCTTGTAGAAGGCCAACTCCTCAAGAAGCGGTAGGCATACAGCTCACGAAACCTAGGAATCCGCTTGATGCACCATGCATCCAAGTGCATTTACAGGGAAATGTACATCAAGACTTGGGATTCTACCATAGTTATGTCTCTGGACCCTCCAAAAGTGCATTTGATTGCACCAAAGGTTTTCACATGTGTTCATTAGAGTGACATGCGACCCTCTTCTTTTTTCCAAAGGTTTTAAGGGCTGCCGATCCAGTGAGTGGCCTGGAAATTTGGCTGGCCTTCTGTCTGGGTCGTTGGATATTGATGACAAGGAGCGGTCGTGCCTATTTGGCAGAACTACAAGGCCTAAGAATACTTGTGCTCAGATCCTTCTTGGCGTCAAAGATCCCAAATCCCCAGCTGTACATTGTGAGAACCCCCAAGAATCACCAGCCTGCCATCCACTCGCTCACGAACCTGACTCACGAACCCCACCTCGCCCTCCAGGACATAGCCATCGGCACGGCCACATTGACCCGGGCGGCTGGCAATGCACGCCAAAAGGCGGCCAGATTGGAACCTGGGAGAAGATCTCAATAGATTCCGTGACCAGGTGGACCATGACCGGATGTTAGGAGAGCGAATGGTTTGAAGAATTTGTAGAATGGTTAGACCATGACCTTCTAACCTGAGATTGGATGTCATCTATCTTTTGGAACCTGGGTTTGGGAATTTCCATGACCGAATCCTGCTACTATAGTTTCATGACCTAGTTTCCATGACCGATCCTGCCCCCTGAACTTGCTTCATTACCATTGGAATTTTGCGTGAACATCTACGAACGTCTATGAACATTTATGAACATCGATCGATCGATCTATTTCTTTGACCTGATGCCTTTGATGGATTCCTGTTGGTGTTGGGACCCATGTCATCATAGTAATATCTCATCTCTGCTAACACAAGTCTATCTGTATCCTCCTGTCCCCATTCCGCTGCTGCTGCCGCTGCCGCTACAGCACGTCCTACTACAATGACTATTACTAAGTACTAAGTGCTACGTACTACGTCAGCTGCCGCCGCTCCTCCTCCTCCTGCTGCTACTACTACTACTTGTACTTGTTGCTCAGCCAAGGTACTGCTCCTCCAATCCATGATCCAACTTTGTCTTGGCCGCACGAGCCTTCTGCTTGAAGATCACCTCAACTCCATTCAACTCCCAGCACTCTTAGGCCCACGACAGGTCACGTTGATGGTGCGGATGCGTTAATTCACAAACGCCATGTGCATGTTTTCTCTGGCGCCGAAACCACCCTCGGATGTCAACCCCAATTTCCAAAAACAACCCCCCAAGGTCCCACCCAAACCTCCCCGTGTTTCGCATCGTGTTTCGCCCGAATTGGCTTCTCATGGTCAAGGTGCATGCCGGCTACGCTTCACCTCTTCTTCCTCCGACCGCAACTCACCAGCGGCATGTTTGGATGAAGATCATATAGCAGCGGGCAGCTTCTATCAATTCTCTTTAATCCTCTTCCCAAACACGACTCATGAGATGTAGCCCCCCTGGCACCACCCCAATGTAGCCATATATGGCAGTCCCATTAGTCGTGTCTGGGCTTTGTATAGTCTGAGAACGTCGATGGAGAATCGAATTCTTGGGCACTTAGGGACTTTCAGGAGAAGTGCCTCAGGGACAGCCACTCATCCCAGTACCCCAGTGAACATCATCAAGCATCAAAGGAGAAATCCATTTCTACAGAAGCGATCCGGGCGTTTGACAGGAGATCGGTTTCCATGCGCAAGGCCCTCTGTCGAATACTTCGCACTTAGTGTGGATCGGGTGGATGACACCAGGTGAACCGGAGACGGGCCGATCCGTCCGATCCCGTCCCGATCGCATCGATCTTCTCATTTCTTGATACATCCACCCAAACAGCAGGGGTCAACAAATCAAACATCTAATAAATGATTGTAAAACTACATAAAACATCATAAAACTATTGATGAACAAACTATTGCAACTGCCAGGACAAAAGCTTGGGATAGATGACAATGTGTACCACACCAAACATCACAATCCTTTTTCTCCCCTGGTGTGCAAATTGAAACATGAAATACACCTGCTTTGTTGGTGTTGTTCTTTACCGCTGGACAAAAAAGACAACCCTGGCGGTGTATGTGTTTGGCTCCTGCTTCTCATCCTTCTGAGCGCCCTTCTTCTTCTTGCCCACATCAACGCCGTACTTCTTCAGGTACCACTGCATGAACCTCCAGCAACAGAACAGGCTTTCCTTGATCAAGCCCTTCCCCACACATCCATGTTCAAGATCCGCGCATATCCTCGCGTTCCCGCTGGTTCAAAGGCGTTTAACAAGGAATGCTCCGTTTCTTTCAAGAACAACCCCTGGCGATGACTTGACGAGCTCCAACTTACAGCCTATTGGATCCCATTGGTCAAACAAAGATGTAGGCCTAGTGGAACCCCACCAGCTTGCAGAGGATGACACGATGTTTAAAACAGTCACCTAAAAAACGAAAGTGTTATATTGTATCGCAGAAATCATGTCACTTTCCATGGTTTAGTGAAAGCAAAGGGTCAATGTCGGGATTCACGCAGCGATATCATATCTCTCTTGATTCCTACCACAAGTAAAGGCCACGAGTTCCCACTAGGCCTATTCAAAAGGTCCTCAGCGATCTATGAATCCAAACAAGCAGAACGTTTGGGTCAAACAACAAAGGATTGATTTGTATCTCCTCAATTGCTCAATGATCTGCCACGTACAAAATTAAGCCAAAAAAGAGATCCCCAATAGATCTAAATTAACTCATGTGAAAAACTGAACAAACATGCGAAGCAACTCACGAAAGGCAGACCTCGAACTTGAAACCCACCACACACGCATCTCCACGCTTCGACGCGGACGTCGGACCCCGTTGGTTTCGCCCCGGAGACGGATGGGCATCGATCTGAACGACGGTGTTCTTCAGCAAGGTCTTCGTTCGGACCAACTCGTTGCTGGTGGCGTTATAGACCACCTCGGGAGGTTGGTGGAAGCGGTCCGGTGAAGGCGGAGGTCTCGGCGAAGGTCTGTAGGGCGTTTCGGTCTCGGTTTTGGGTGGTGAAAGAGATGGGAGAAGCTAAGACAACCGATGTCCCAGTTCCTTTTCGCTTCTTGGGCTGAATCGGCCAAGCATACGGTGCCCCCCCGGTTACTCCGTGCCCGGGAAGACGGATCACGGGCCGCCCACTATAGATGGGCCTTCCGAACGAGGGTTTCAGGTGTTCGGAAGGCTCAAAACGAGGGCATGTTCGGAGGACATGTTTCAGGGGTCCATGGTTCGACCCGGCGTGCCACCGATGGATTTGGGGCAGACCAAACTCAAATGTTCAACCGACCTATATATGTTTCATCATGGATCATGTGTCTCCTGAGCCTGAGACAACGACTCAGAGTGCTGTAGTCTATCCAACTCCTCGAACGTCACGATCTAAGATGTTTGATGAAGAAGGATGAAGATTCTATCCCCGCCTTGCCCAAGGGCGGATTTCAAACCATGAAAAAAGAACCCCGAATCCATCCGAAGCCCGGTCTCAAAACGACGAATTCGTCGTCCATTCGTCCTCCGAATCTGAGCTCCGGGCGTCCAAAATCCTCACCTTCTTGGTCACGTTCTCCTCGGCGTGAAGGATCCGACCCGTTCCGAAGGGATGGGCCTGGCCGGCCTGACCGGCCGGTTCCCCGGCCGTTCCTGCCATAGACCCGAATGGAGTGGTGTTTTTTCCGGATAGACCAAAAGGACCGCCAAAGAAGTGCATGTGAGTGGACAAGAATGACAAGACCAGACCATTTGCTCGGACCTGAGTAGCTATGCTGCGGCTACAGCTTTTGCAAACAGTAGTAATAACGAATCCTCTGATTATGTGATCATCCATTACATACCAAGTGAGATGGAGCTTCAGGTATCTTTCTGGCTCTGGAAGTAGCGAGGCTTGACGTCATCCCACTACCTGACATGGGTCTGGCAAACGAACCCTCTTCGCCCGGCGTGTCCCCTCTTCAGTTTTCAGCTCCCATTTGGGGGCCGATCAGTGTTCCGGGGCAGTTCTTTTCGACGAACGAGCACCCAATAAACCTCGTCCCTTGTGAACCCAGCAAACCCCAATAAACCCTCCCCAGCACGGTCTCGACCGCAAAACATACGAATACCCACTCGAAAAACTCGGCACTGTGTTAACAAAAAACACTTTTTTCACCGCTGTAGCCCAGCTGATCAGCTCAGTCGCCGAGCCCCAGGCATAGTTGCCGGCGTCCAACCTCTGGACGATTCGCAAAAGAAACAAAAGGACCCAAACTATGAGATTACTTGTCATTTGATTTCTCATCCGTCAGCCTACTCTTCTTCATGCAAAGCTCTGTGAACCCCAAAAACCTCAACTTCATGCCCTAGTGATCTCTCCGACCTCGACTCCATCAACCCCAAGCAACGACTAGACTGCTGTCTTCTGTTTTTTTTGCCCACACCCATTTCGGTGTGAGAACACTGAGAACACACCAAAAACAGAAATAACAAACTGAAGGAACCAAAAAGAAGACAATAAACTGAATCATAGAAAGTGAAAGGAACCTACTTTGGAAGCTGCTATCCAACAATCCAGATCCTTCCTTCTCAACTTTAGAGACCACACCCCCCACTCCCACCACCCGCCGCCTCAGCGCGCGGTACTTCATGTTGCCGCCGCGGCAGCGCACGCGGCGCACGCGCTTGGCGCCCAGCTTGCATGGAGTGGCTGGGCGGCCCATCTCCTCGGCCCACGGATGGATCGAACGGCCGACCGGTGGACCCGGTGGGACGACCAGGTGTCTTTTTTGGTGGGGGAGGATGGGAAGACCAGGTGGATGGGTTGGGGGGGAGGATGGGATATGGAAGATGTTATTCCTATTACGTTTTAGAGTCGACATGTTGCGAAGAATTCAAGTGCGTGTTGAAATCTAGAGTCTTGGTCAAGAAATATCGCTTCCAACTTCTTGTCAAACCGCAAATACATATATACAATTACTAACTAAGAGATCCTATAAGAGCCTATATAAATCCACATGTGCGAGCCAATACGTCAATACGTGTGCCTTGAGATGTATCACCTCTTTGGACGAACGGACGAACACAGTGGTGAGAGCGGAGGTCCACAGTGGTGAGAGTGGTGTTGATTTCTTCACCAAAGGCTGTTTGAATGGCTGGTCTTACCAATGGCTGGAGGGTTCCTACAGCGGTTAAGTGACCGTAAGTAGGACCCTACAGGGGTACCTATAGGATGGTCTATAGGGTTCTTCAACCTCTGCTGGTTGTTCATCGAATTGATGGGATCAGACTTTTGAGATGCTGCCGGGCTGATGTCCCACATTCAGACCGGATGGTGTAGGTGCATAACTTCTTTTCAACACCAAATATGGGTCAAATCATCCCTGGAATCTGGTTTGACATATCTGTCGCTCACATCTGCTGTCTGCTGTCGTCGAGCCACACCTGACAACAGTGAACCCTATTTTTACACATCCTTACACCCATCCAAACATCAGTGTTTCACATAGTGTTTACGTAGTGCGACCAAGTCTCATACTTGCGCTTCTTGATGGAGGTCTTGCTCCTTCCTCCTGTCTTGTAATGCTTGTGTCGGCTATCACGGCCGATACCCATGGCTGCGAGCTCTCGTGTTGGCACAAAGGAGGGCAGGGCAGAAACGATTCCTGAAGCCAGCAGAACAGCGGTTTTTGCAGTTCCTTGGTGTTCATCTGGGCGTGTCTCCACCCTGGTTCCACCCAGTCCACTCGTCTTGAGACAATCCACTCACCTCATTACTCGTGACCTGGGTGCTGTGATGCATTGCAGCATTGCAAAACACCGACCCAGACATCAAATTAAATCCCCATGAATGATCAGGTCCATTTATGTAGATTCATATTGTAAAATATGGATCTCTCACATCAACCTCAAGCTAAACTGGCTGCTCGCCGCTCCGTTTCTCTGCCACTTCCGCCGTGCACTCACTTCCAAGAAAGATGCCCAACGAATGCCCAACGGGACTTCCATCAGAACTTCATCTCGTGGGGGAAGGTTCGCGCGGACAGGGAGAAGCGCGACTTCAAGTAGCCTCAACGTCGGCAGACGAGCGTGAGAAAGAACCGCGGGGGACTCAGTAGAGATGTGCGGCGTAGATCACCCGTATAGGTCACCTTCCAAAAAGGTCTTTTTGGATCCAGGACCAGGATGCAAACGACTATTCTCTTGATTGGAAGCACTTCTGAACTTCTGAATCACATCGTCAAGAGGAGTGATCTCCCCTTTTTTGTGTTTTGGCTAGACACATTTGCGGGATTTGCTCCTTGTCCCGGCAAGTTGATCCACACCATCCAAACCCTCGGATGATGGTGACGAACTCTTGTCTTCTTGGGAGGGTGTCAACATGCTTTTGTATTTTCTTGTACTGCATTTCATGCTCAAGACATGATTTGAAGGACCACAACCCACAGAACCCATAGAACCCACAGAAGCTGCTTTGCTGCTCGCTCCTGAGAACCTAACCCATTGCCGAAACTTGGCCAGGGAGCTCTTCATGTCGTCCTTGAGGCCCTTGATGATGGACTCATCCAACTTCTTTTGTCCATCCTTCTTCCTTGTCAGCTCTGGTTTTCACAGCAAAAAACGGAACGTCGAGACGTACGGCAGGCACCCAACAAGACGTACTGCAATGACATGCAATGAGCATCCTATTGAGGAGGAACCCCATGAGCCAGATTCCTTGAGTCAGGGCTATTTTTGAAGATATTTACACCAACCAAATCATTTAAACCACGGAGAACAGGTGTCAAGGACCTTTCAGAACATCTTAAAGAGGAGCTTGGAACATCAACAAATCGAACAGATCGGATGAAGCCAGACCTTTCGAGCCATCAAACCATCAAAGAAAGAGGTGTGGCAGCAACTACCTGGCTGTGGCTACCCTGCAGAAAGCTTGACTAAGTCTGTAAAGCATTGATTTGCTGGATCTGACAGGACATTCATGACCCCTACTTAATTACCTCTTCATCTTGATTGCGACCTTTTTGGCCGCAAACCCAAAAGGAACACACATACATGCGTCCTTTTCAGGGGTATCCCTTTGCTCCCACACCGGGTCTGTCAGCCTTCTGTCAGGTTCTGTTCAGCCGTACCTGCCCATTGAAGCCGAGGCTCTCTTGGGGGAGGACCTTCTTGGGCGCCTCCGTGGCGAAGAACTTCCTTGCCACGGCCCACGTCGGCGCCAGACCAGACCGGTCGTGGCGCCGACCCCCAGACCGGAGGGTCAGTCGGTCATTGGACTTGAATCACATGGAGCGGGGACCAGTCTCAGGTACATGAGGTATGGTGGCGGTCCGGTGACCGAAGGGATCATGAACTTTGGGTGAATAAGAAGCTAAGTGTGGTTTAGATAAGCAGATAGGCAGTCATGAATATAGTCAAGAAGTTTTGCCATTACGAGAGTGGACATACTTTTCTACTTTCCATTTGCAGGAGTTTCTGGAGTCCCCTGAATGTCTGAGACAAGCTATAATTATAAGATCGTTTGGGATGTTGAACACGTCGATCTGTGCTGGGTCTGCCCTTCCTCACTTCCCTCTGAGAATCAAACAAATCACTCCCAAAAGTAAAGATAGGATAAAACAATATAGGATAAGTGGAATTTGAAGGTAGTTGCCTACTAAAGGATCTCTCCTTTGTCCCTGAGCTTCACTCACACCCGCGTCCCACTGTGGCAGCTCAGCGTCTCTTGGGTCATGGCGCCCTTCTTCGCCTTCTCCCGTGCGAAGTAGGCGTCGCTAATGGACTTGGCATCCTCGGAGTCCGGAAATTCCATGGATGCTTGAGACATGCTTAAAACCAAATGCGAAGGCCAAACTGGGAGCCCTCTCCAAGTGATGTGTCAGAATCCTTGAAGTTGGAAATTGTTGTCTCGAAACATCAGTTGTGTGCCCCTAGGAAAGCGCCCATTCCAGCTCTTAACCCAGAACCAACTAGGCCACCTCGACATACTGATGGGTCTGTTGCTGAACGTCCAATTGGCCCCCATCGGTTTCACCAGGTCAATCGGCCCCCCATCCGATCGATCGAAGAAAGGGACCTGACCTTTTTGCGACGGTGCCTGGTCCCTGGTGGAAGAGCATGGAACATCAGCTCGGCTCGGCTCAGCTACCTAAGTGTCATACCGTGATCAAAACTGAGACTTGTGGCTTATAATGGCTTATACTTGTCTCATGTAGAACCCACCAACACCCCCTCCCCCGGCAAAGAAGACAGAAACACCCAACGACCCAACAAACCACCAGCGAGGTCATTCCGCCCCATTTCCGGAGCTTCCGCGTGTTCCGCCCAGTGGCAGCACCTCCCAGGTCCACCTTGGTACCTCAGTGACCGACATCATAGGACACCAGCGGCGGGTGGAGCTCACCAGCGGTGGTTTTGGGCCGGCCTGGTGACCACCTCTTCCGGTGATTTCAGGTGGACCAACACATTTCAGGAACTCTTTTGGAATGTGGGAGTGTGAGCATGTTTAAAGTGGACCAATCATGGTGAACCGGGGGTGAAGCATGGTGAATCACATCCTCCTTCTGTTTCAGACTCGTTCCAAAAGGTGCCAGACCCGTTCGGAGAAGGCCGGTGTTTGTCCTCAAACACCCTTGAGGCATGCACATCAGATCGCTTAGGGGAGGTGAGTGTATAGGGTTTGCTGGGGTTTTGACCCACAGCGATCGTTTAGGGGAAGGTACGAGTGAGCTCGGTCAGTTCACCTTAAGCGTCTTTGAAATGACCCAGAGGATGCCTTCACGCAGACCAAACACATCATCACAGAAGTGGAAATATATAGATCGTAGAAAAAATCCCATCATGAAACTGAAGCGGAACAGCCTCGTGATGTGTCTTAGAGATCCTAGAACCTGCACACAACAAACATCTGCAGTTGACGGCTCATAGGTCTATGTCAAGACCAGGGCATGCGAAGGTGACGGATGAAATTCGGACGTTCCCTGGACAAAACATGACATGCCCAATCAACTGGTTGCTGACTCCAACTCACCTCAAACCTGTCATTGGCCAATCCTCCTCAGGTGATTAGATAAAGATCAAAGCATAAAGGCTTCCAACAGCTGAAACCACCCACCAAAAACTCCAAGTCGACTCACCGCCGCTGTCAGCGAAATCCGCCATGTCACTGGTGGCGATGCAGTAGCGCTGGTTCACCCGCTTCAAAGGCACCCCATTGAGCGCCTCGCGTCGGGCGTGGCGTTCATTCGGTCGACGACCCACGGAAGAAAACGCTTCAGAGCCACATCTTGGGACACCGAGTGGGATTTCTGAATGGAAGAAGAATGAAGAAGAGCAAGGTGACCCAGGGTTGGGTTTCGAGAGCACGACCTCCCGTTGGGAGGTCTATCATGATCCTATCCGGTCTATAGTCTATCCTTTCCGGAATTCGAGTCGTGCCAACTCGAAGCTTCTTGAAATAGGTTGACCTGGTTGTGACCGAGTGACCCGTTCATGCAAGTTCACGCCTTGACCCGTTTCACCTCCCCCGCGACCGGTCGAGGGGACGGACCCAGGTCGCCGATCCGACCTTCCCTTCCGGACCCAGGGGCGACGGAGCCATCCGGCAGGGTCAAATGCAAGCAGGAATGGACCTAAGAGATCCTAACAGGACCACACACACCCAGTTGACTGTGTGCATCCAGTTGACTGTGCTGCCGCAAAACCCACGGTCCCAGTTGAAAACCCCCGGAATGCTCAGGCAGCACCCAAAAGGATGGCTATTAAGATCGAAGAATCACACGTGGTAGGGGGGTCTATATACCACCCTTTGGGTGGTACTGGAGCTTTGGTCTTCTCATGGATTCTCCGATCCTTTTCGTCCTTTTCGTCCTTTCAACGAGCTGCATAAGGGCCGGTGACCAAGAGCAAGCCACTCTCCAGCCTTGCCAAAGGGGCAAAATGAGCACCGAGACCACGAGTCCATACCACCGAGACGACGTGGACGATCAATGGCCTCCACCCTACTAGGGATCGGTATAAGAACATCCAAATCCCGTGCGCCCGGAAGAGGACAGGAACTGATGTAGGATGTGACTCTGCGAGGCTGTCTTGGTAGGAATTCATTTTTGCAGGCCGGCTTTTGAGGATGTTTGCAAAAGGCACCCCCAAAGGCATTGGAAGTCTTCAGTGCATCATTCTTGAGTTGTGGGAGAACAACATCTCCTCCGCCAGATCTTGAGTTGGCTTCCAATTCAGCCAAATTTACGGCCCATGCTTTAGGCTTCCAAGGTCAAACGGCAGGGTCCAGGTAGCGATGCATGCTCCATGCTGCTGTCTCTGTCTCATTCTCAAACCCTTCGCCGTGGCACTGCTTCAGGAAGACCACTCGGCGACCACGGAATTTGCCTCGTGGGATGGTGGGCAGTTTGTGTGGAAAAGTCAACATGTTGCTTCGCCATTCTGAGCCATTACAACTCTGATGACCCGTCAGGACCCCAACTCAACCATGCGTTCATTGGCAACTCAGCATCAGCATCTCTGTCAACTGCTCCTCGCTTCATGAGGACTCAACCCGAGAAACCGCGAGAAACCCCTCCAAGGAAGTGGTAGATATGGCAAGAAAGGAGTTGGAGGACTCACCAAGCAATCCAATTTCATCCCCGTTCGGCTTCCAAGCTAGAATCTAGAACACCACCATGTGTTTTTTTTCTGCTTTTGGAGAGCCGGCATGCTTGTTTGCTCAAAGAATCCCTTATTACTGGAATCCGACCATTCACCACACCCAACATGAGGCGTTGATTCACTTGGGTCACATAGTCACAGACATCTCCGAATTGGGGAGGATCCCCCATGAAGTATCTCGATCAAAGCCTGTTCTGTTCCTCATGTCCTCCGCTCACTCTCATTCCACCCCAATAGCGGTGCACAGTATCACTTCTCTCATGAGAATGCACACTCCCCATCCATCCATCGTCTGAAGGGCATCGAACCATCTCAATTCGTGTCAGTTCGTTGGTTCGACTGATTCGGACCGAAGGGGCTGGCCAGCAGAATCAGCACGGAGCCCGGCTCGATCTTCTTTCGCAGCTTCGGAGTCTTCTTCTCGACCTCGGGTCGATCGAAGGCTCAGTGCGACCCGCAGGTGCTCAGGTGCCAAAACACAAGACACCTAATTGCATTATATATATATATACATGTGAGAGAACCCACCAGTCGTTCCAAGGATCTCATCATTCATGTGCTTAGGCCTCGCCGGGCCGACAGGATCTGTTCTTTGGCTCACATCAGATCTGGGCCGATTCGGTGTGCAGTCGACGGTGTCACGTGTCTCTTGGACTCCTTCTTAAGCCTTCCGTCCCACCAAAACCCACGATGGAGGACGCGGGGCGACGGTCGAGCCCAATCCAGCGACATGAGATCCGCACGATCGGATCCAACTCGATTGGATCTGCGAGGTGCAGTGGACTTCACTTTCTTGACCTTCTTATTGCAGATCTTCCTGAGTCATGGCTGTGGCTCAAATGAGATTCGTGTGGGCACGGCTCTTTAAAGTTTGATCGACAAAGGAAAGGAGGGGCTCTGGGACCATCGTGTATAGTGTTCTTGCAGCCATAAATTCAAAGAACAAATCTACAAAGAACATATCAGAACATGTCCAATCCTTCGTAGATCCAAAGACTGCCAAAATGGTCGGAAACATGTCAGAACCATTCAGAACATTTCAGAACCAACCTACTCCAGGACCTACTTGGCTTTACTCGTGCTTGTCTGAAAAGGAATACTTCATAATCACGTCTGTCCAAAAGAACTCATCACAAAGTAGCGAATTGCGTGAAGGTCTCTACTGCATCTTCTTAGACTTGAAGAAAAGGATCTCTCTTTCAAGCCCAGGGCGTGGTTTTGAAGCTCTGCCGAACTCTCTCAGTGAACCACCAGAACCACCCGAGCTCCAGCTTTAGCTCCGGACCCTACTGTCCGGCTCGGACGACGCCCGTTTCTCACACGACCGGGGAACATGGCGGTATGGCATGGCCTACCCGACACATCCCGGCACCAGTTCCAGGGCCAAAACGTTCCAAGCACCGAGATGCGATGCAAACGTGGTTCGACGGCCCGTCCAGAATTTCGAACCAAGAAAGCAAACCGAGCCGAGAGTTGTTCGCATCATCCCCACTGAAAACAGCGCTTTCCCATCCAAAAAGGCTCCATACCAAGTCGGTGTCACCCATCACCCATACCATCACCCATCCACTCTTAGCACGTGGAGAACTCATCACTCCTTTCGATTTCCTGCATGCCCATGATGCCCCACTGGAGAGGACCCCAAACAAGAAAGAGGGTTGAATGAAGAAGTCCTTTCCAACACCCGACCAACACCAGGTAAACCCAGACTCTAGCTGCTACTAGCTCTCACAGCTTCACAGGTTCTCCCAAGCATCTTCTGCTTGCTTCGCTGTTGCCCCGCTTGCCCCATGGCTGCACCGGAGTTGCACGTTCGGACCCTGCAACCGCTCACCGGACCGTGTAAACGGCGACAGCACAAGACCTCAAAAATAGCAGAGACCACAGCCAAATGATGCCAAATGTATAGGTAGTGAACAAATTGTGAACGTGGCTGTGTCAGTTGTTTGTTCACCTTTCCTTTGCAGGTGATTTCTTCCCTTTACTGGTGAATAGCTCACCTTACAAGGGCATCTTTATTGTTTGCCTTAGGTATGGCCTCAGTGGTAAGTGAAAACAAGGGCAGTCAAGCCTACAAATTGGCCTCAGTCGTCCCATCACATGCCACAAAACAAAAGAAAGTCGCGCTATGTCAATCATCAACCAGTGCTTGAAACCACTTGGGAAGCGCCTTGTGTACAGAGCTCTGTCTGCATCCAAAGTAGCTCAAACTGCCGTAGATGGTCTGGAATAGACTCAAATGTCTATTTCATCTGAAATCAATTAGTGGAAAACCGAGAAATCGACTTCACCAGCTTTCGCAACCCTTCTTGACATATGACATATATGTCGTTCTACCACAAAAGTCCTCAAAAAGATATGATAGAAGCAAGATCAATTGCATGTTCTATTTGGCTTTGCATGTCTCTATATTTGGAGCAGTAGCTGCTTAAGCTGCTCTGTTTGTCTTTGGAATAGAGTGATAACGCTTCTATAGTGACTATATTGTCTACTCCGGCATGCCAACTCAAGGTTGCTATCCTGATGAAATGCCAACTCAAGGTTGGGCATGAGCATCTTTAGATTTTGGACAACCACCACGTACAACTTCTGTGTACTACAGAATGGTATGAAATGTTTACCCTTCAGGCCAAATTTACTCCACCCTTTGTCATCTCCAAGCATGGCAGCATGGCGCTCTTTCCAACGGTGGCACATCAATCTTGGGCTCAGATGAAACACTCATCTGGAGCACCAAAGGAGGTTCTGTGCTGTAAACACCTTCAGATAGTCGTCAGTCTAGCAAAGAAGTGAGATGATCGGTCAGATCTTCAGCGGAAAAGACTCTCCGCAACACAACACCTTTTCAATCTATCAGAGCTGCCTTACAAACTCCTTGAAACACTGAGGATTGGTCAAGATTCATTCACGACGGGTCTCGATATGAGATTCATGTTTGTTACACGCTTTTGGTGACCGCAACCCCATATCTGCTGTCTGCTGTGCATGTCCATTGTGTCAGTGTCAAAATGTGTCAAACTAGTCAACTCTAGGGGCAAAGAACTCCAAAGCAAACACATGAAACCTTCCTCTCCTGCATGAACACACATTTGTGGCCAGAAGACCTCCATCACGATGGCTATAGCCAAAAAGCCACACAATCCAGAACTCTGTAATACCCTGCTGACCATCCTATCTGAAGCTCCCCACGCGACGCTTGGTTGGCCGACCGCCGGGTGAAACGCCAAAGCCCCGGTGGCCGATTAAAAAAAACTCAAGAAATCTCTCTATGTTTCCTGAAGAAACTATGACCCAGAAGTGAGACAAAAGAAGATTTCGGCCATTGAGAAGTTCTATTCCTCTGCAGTCTGGAGCTAGTAGGCTCGTTGGAGCCCGGTGTTGCCACATCATTCAGCTGCTTAGTTGCTCTGAAGGACCCAAAGCACCCCAGAGGAATTAGCTCCAGTGAATGAGGTTTGCCACCTTCACTCAACTAGGTTATGAGCCCCCCAAAAGTTGAAGAGTAATATGACTTTCTATATCTTTCTAAGCAACTAGTGAACAGCTTGGCTTTGTTAGACATGAATCAATCACCCATTGACTCCAGCCACAGGCTCTGATCGGGCAAGTCACGCCCGAACGTTGCATTAACAGGGCTATCACGACTGACTCGTCTCACCTTGCGTAGGCTCGACCTGGCGGAGACTTGTCGCGGAGACTTGTCCATTCGTACAACAGCATCTCTTGTTTTGCATCTCTTTTCACACAACATGTACGGATGTAGAGACCGGTCTTGTTACAACAAACGGCCCACATTCGTTGGAAGAAACTCTACACAAAGAAAAGAGGAGAAGATCTTCGGGGTGTGTCCTTTTTTCCCGCTGCGCCAGGCCTCCGGATCCCAATCAACTGTCCATCGGCGTTTTTTGTAGGTACAGGATGATACAGCGGTTTGAGAGTAGATGGCACTCGCACCCCTAGATGTCCTTTAGATAGGGATCCATATAAACCACCTAACTTGGGGGTTTGTGCCATCTACTCTTCATCCTCTGGAATTTAGCGATGATCATCTTCAATAGGTTCGTCGATCCCTGTGCCAGGCCTGACCTAGAAGCTCTCCTCTGTAGCCACCGGCAAGTAGCCCTCCTGAGAGGGCTCCAAACCGTGGACCATCGCAGGTTGCAAATGCAATGACAACTCAACAATATAATATAGTTACCCTCATCTTCAACTACTAAAGTAAACTGGAGGCTCTGGGGTTGCTAACGTAGTTGGAGGCTCCGGGGTTGTATATACTAATAGATCTAGACAAGAATCTAGAGCCATTACATATGAGGAATACCTCTTGCAGGCTACACTATCGTTTCCATCTGTTGAAACCATACTTGGATGGACTACCTCTTGGTCCTCAGTTGGTGACTTCAGATTGAACATGATTCTTTTTGAACACATGGCTAGGTCCACCCTACTAAGCAAGGCACAGAAGGGTTCTAACCGGTCTCCAACTAGCCACACAGTCCACGCCTGGACCTTACAACAGCTGTTTCTATGTTAGGGTCCAACTACTCTTGGAGGCCATATTTGAGAAGTGTCCAGTACCCATTGTACAAAAGTCCATGTCCCCATGTGTGGAGAGGAAAACTCTGACTCCCTCAGTTTCCCAGGCAGAAAAAAACCGTGACCTAGTCTTCAACGAGGTCCTTGTTTAGTGGGGGTGTCACCAATCTCCAAGAAAGCTTCAACAAAAAGGAACCTCTCCACTTTTCCTGGGTAGGAAACCCGCCACCTAGACCTGCTCCGGCATCCCAGGTGTTCCACCATGTGCTTCACCCCCGCACAGCTGGCGGCCCGTCGCCCGGAGTCGCCCGCCTTCAACGCGGAGTCGCTCAGGGCGCCTTCACTTCGGGCCTTAGGCAGCGTCTTTGGGGGGACAGGTCCGATGGAAGAGGTTCCAAGGCGGCTTTTCACTATCCATAACCCAGTCACTCCATGGGACTGCCATGTATGCCGATCAGGCCAGGGGTGGTGCCAGGGGGGTCAATGGGGCGGCATATATGGCATGCATGGAGTGTCTGGGTAATGCCCCCTTTAGACTTCGACTTCGTAAAAACCATTCGGGAAACAGACGCTCCCTTTCCAACACAAAAGAATGAGAGAGAAAGGACAAATGTCCTTTGTCATCGCAAATTATGAATTTGACACTATGCATGGAGTTTGTGAAGTTGATTCCACATCATTCCACTATAGAGTGGCATCAACATGGGAAACAGAGCGTCTGTAGAAGCCTGCACCAGTGGCCTACGCTGGCAAGGGCATCTGTCCCTCTCGATGCCACCTGTTGCGTCCAGTTGCCCTTCCCGAAGCGTACGATATCTCATCCCACTCAAAGAGGAAGATCATGTTCGGCTACTCCGCAAGATCATATACAAGATATGTCAGATATGCGCGCTGCCATGTGATCGTATGTGGGAAAAGGGAATAGAAACCCGCACTGAAATGCCTTCGAAGAACGCCTTCCCCAAAAGGTACCCGCTTCACCTTCTCCACTGCTTCTCGCACCTTCCAAAGCAAATGCAGGATGGACGCTGCTGCGACACCTGCCACAGGCTGAGAGGCTGTGGATAAACAGCTCACCTGATTTCAAGGATCTAGTCACTAGTTCAAACGAACAATCATCGTCAGAATTCCTCGGATTGAAAGGCAGCCGCGTTCCAACCAACAAACACTCATCACACCAGCACAAAAAGGTGCACACCAATGGGGTTTTAGAAAGAATTCCCCCCGTATGGAAGTCGTTTTGGAAAGACACACATCTGGCCATAGGTGGATCAACAAACAGCGCTTCATGCACAGGGCTCACTCAGTGAGGCGGATGATTGCACCTGAAAGGATGCAGAAGACCACCGGACCACCGCTCCTGCCGACGCGACGGGTGAGCATCGTTCCAGGCTATAGCCCACCCACAACTCTTGGAGATATGGGCGTGTATTTCACAGGAAGACCACCAACCAATTGCGTTTGGTGTATTTACATGTATTTACCTTCTTCCAGGGGGGTCGGAATGCCTGGGAGGTCTACCTATCTTAATTCACACCCATATCTGCCAACCCAGGCATCCAAAGCAAACGTCACCTACAATTAAACAGTGTTGTTATATTTTTTTTGGCACTCATTTGATGTCCGAGACTGGGGACTGCAACGTGTACGCACATTGTAGTTGATTAGACACAAGGGCACAGATTGTTGAGTCATTTCTCCAAAGGATTAGGATATTGGGGGTTGTGTACATCCTTGTGTTTGCTTTCATTGGATGAAACTTGCAATCCAGTTCGCCACACATGTCCTCTGTGGACCAGTATGTGAGACGTTGTTCCATCTTCATCTTTGCCACTGTTTGCCTTCTGTTTGCGTTACAAAGAGCGTTGCTCGTGGTGGTGGAACACAACAACCGAAGACCATGTTGAGCCAACCGGAGGTATACTGACATCAAGTAACCACAAATCAGTTGCTTGTTGTGTAAGACCATCAGGAAGACCATGAGGTACACTGGATATATGGTCTTTCCGGTTGCTTGTTGTCTTTGGAATGGCTGATTGCTTCAACAAAGTAGCCACACACTGAATTCACAGGCGTCAGAAGGAGACAGCGCTAGGTCGGGCAAAACCGAGCCCACCCTGCTCCTGGTCAGCCAGCGGAAGGCCTCAACATGGGATTCTTTCGAAGAATTTTATAGGGTTCACAGGGTCTGGGAACCAAATGAAAAACAGGTGAGTTCTATTGTGGATCCAAATCGTCCTTCTTGGTCAGGCTTCGCGAATTTGATCCCTTGTTCCATCGGCCAAGAAACGGTTTGATCGGCCTTTGATGCAAATTACAAAAAAAAGGAAAACACCTGTGGGAAAACTGAGTGAAACCTAACGAGTCAAGATAACCATGTATGTCCACAATCATTGTAGTGGAACAAAGTCATCCACTCAGCACCAAGAGTTGTGTAGATGCTGCATCCTCTCAAATAGACGGCAACAATCAACAGCCTTGAAGAACAATTTCTGGCGAAGTTGATGTGAAACTGACGTATGGAGTGTATCTGCATAGATCTGTATAGTGTACTGTATAACCCATAGGCCTTGTCTCGATCTAAAAGGAGATCTGGAACTGCCTCCAACCAAGCAAAGAGCTCCTAAATTCTTTGAACCATTTGACCCAGAGCTCCTAAATCTCTCCAACCAAGCACAGAGTTCCAAATGTCCATATACCAACCGTTTGACCAACCGTTTTCATGCACCGTAGGATTTGCCAGCTCCCAGGAACTGGGAAGAAACCAAACAACCATTGACTCGCCATGCGAACCGGGGATGTATCCAGTTCGACACACCTGCCGATCCGCCAAACCACGCATGCCAAGCGATCCCTGCCGAGCATGGAAGAATCACCACGAACACCCGCTACGGCCCCGTACCTCTGCTGGCTGCTGAGGCCTGACGCTGGGCTGCTCTCGGTTTGGATGATGAAATCGGTTGCTTGATTGGAGCGAAAATGCTTGGATGTTTGGTTTGGCATGTGTCACTCCGCCCGGAATACTCACCCCAAAAATGAGGAAAATCAGAATAGTGGCCATGAATCGTCTATCGCGGGAGGTTCAGGGAACGCTGAACCTTAGGAGGATTTGACTTTCACCCAAGGCCACATGGCCTTAGGTGTTCACATAAGCATGACATCTCATAGTTTTGGATGGTTTTTATGCGTTTACGTTTTCATGTTCCTTCCGATGGAGGACAATTTTCCCAACACCACAGCTTCCATATGTTTCATGATGCTACACGGGCGCATATTGGAATCTCCTAACACCCTCTCCCGACTTCCATAAGAACCCAAAGCAAATTTGGAGAAGTATCTGTTATCTGTGCATTCTTCAACGCACAGCTAGGATGTCTCATCATATTTCTGAACTGTGACACAAGCCCGATGTGCGCACACAAAACGGCGAGAAGCTGTCGCGCTCGATGATTGAACTAGTGTGTGAACTGCCTGTGATGTCCACCCGTTTATCGAAAAGGCAGCAATGGCACTCTGCTCAGCAATTACTGTATACATTTTGAACATTTGTTTTAGACGCTCCGGGAAATGACTTGCTGGCCAAGACGAACTCTTCCGAGCCCAGTGGTTTGGAAACGACTGTGTTCCAAACAGTCTGTGGCCTTCTACTGTTTTCCAACCCCCAAAACCTTCTTGGTCGCCTGGTCCGATAGTTGGAGATCATAGCACCACCAATCAAGACCTTCTGCATGCTGTCCGGCATCTCCTAGAACGGCGGATGCCGGCCAAAGTTTCCCTGAACTGCGCTGGGGGAGAAAGCTTTCGTGATCAAACTGCAACTTTAACATACTTTAACTGAACGCGAGAACGATAGGCTGGAGTGAAGCCCCCTTGAAGAGAAACGTTCGGGCAACACAGCATCGCCACTTGGATTTTGACCTGGAAGACCTGTTGAGCTGAGTTGGTTGGGCTGCGCCTTCCTGGGTTCCGATGACACAAAGCCCAGCAGAACAAAGTTGGCAACCCAAAAAGGTAGTGGATCTAGGGCCATTCAGAGTTGACATCATATTCCCCTTTCTCCCTAGTTCGTACTGCGGCAAAGGTTAAGCATCATGAACTTCATCGAGCTATCTCAATGTGTATATTATGTGTATAGACTAAATCCCGTTGAATCCCCTTGATTGAGAGTCGGTCCCACCCACTAAACCATTTCTATCCGCCTTTTTGAAGCAATCATTTCTCAGTGCTTGGGACCGTGAGCGAGAGACCCCTGGTGCCACAAGCGCCCACCGTTTCTCGACGCATCTTTTTGTGGCGCAACAGCCGTCGACGCCCAAGCGCCGATCTCGTCCACCGTCAGACCTGCGGGCAGTGAATTCGTTCTGTTGCTACCCTCACAAGCAAACTTGACTGTTCTTCTTGTACAGGTTGTGCATTCTTTTTCAGAGCCGTAACCAGGGTAATCTTTCTCCAAAAAAGGAGAACCAAGGAAGGCCACACTCTACAAGAAAAGGAAGGGATTCTTAAGTCTTAAGCCCTATAGTTGTTCGAAACCATTCGAAACCAAGCACGTACCAACATGAAGGCTAAAAGGAGGGTTTGTGGAGAAAGGGGGTCAGCAAAAATGGCTTTTACGAAGTTAGTGCATCAAAAATACCTTCCACGAAGTTCTGCGAAGGTTTCTGGGATTTCGTTGCAGTCAGTTTTCCTACTGGCCCACCATTCCACGAACTGTCCACGATGTTAGTAGAATAGGTTTTTGCAAAACCCTTTCTGTGCACTACCCTTCCGTTTGCCTCTGACAACAGCCATCCCTCGATGTCTTGTGGAGTCAAAACATCCACTCACTGCATTTGTTTGGTGGTAACGTCTCATGTGAAAATCACATCGACACGTGTAACTAGGCCTGGGATGCTTCAAGGATGACACGGGCGCATCCATGCCTCCTGCGCGTCAAGCAGAAATCCAAACCAGGGTTCTGGGTTTAAGCATGTGTTATAGGTAACGCAAGGAACTGCGTTTCCTTTGTTTATTCATAATAGAAACCCACACAGCAATCATATATGTAGAACTATACAGGGGAAAGCTAGTTGCCTTATCTTCCTTCCCGCCCCTGCCAAGCAGTGCTGTTGTGTGAAACAAAAAGCAATTGAGCAGCGGTTTCACGATGACCTATCTCAAAGTGTAAAGTTCGCCCGGCATCAGCAACCTGAATTTCTCAGGACCCTGCCCCCGTATGATCTTTGGCGAAAAGGCCTACCTGCTAAATCTGGTGCTATACTGCTATACATGACGTGCTTTACAACATTTTACACAATGTCTCTCAAGATGACATCCTCCTAACCAATCAGTCTGATTTTCTTGGCACGTGTCTTTTTTGGGGGACGTCCAGTCGTTGGATTCGCTTCACCTTCGCTTCCAATCCCCCGGCATCTTCGCCATCGCACCGCGACGTCCGAACTCCAAGCGGTTTCACTTCCGGCGGATTTGGTGAAATCGAACGTCGCGTGTGTTGGAGTTTTCATGAAGTTCCTTTTCAAGACAGCACATCCTGTATGGACATGTCACCCCAAAAAACAGAATCTGCAGGTTCTAGGTTGTCAAATGTTCTGTGTGATCACCGCGAACAAAGGTTTCTGGTGTCTTACTGGCGTCTTCATAGGAGTTTTCACCAGCTTGGACTCAGAGTAACAGAAGCAGACAACGCTCTGGAACCCGCAAACCCAACCACACCTAGCAACGCAATCGCCTTCTCTGAAAAAGGAACCTTCTGGCTTCTCGTCAAACCGGCTCTCCGAGCTTATTTCCCAGAAAGAATTCAAGAACGATCGACATCCCATCACTCAATTATGGGACTATGATGGGACTTCACAGTACTCCAACCAAAAAAAACTCACATCTCAACCCCAAATGGGCGAAACTGATCCCTTCGACCCAAAACTTTGCCAAATCCGCCAGATCCACCACACACTCCGCCAGATCCTCGGGCCTCAAACCGACGCCGTCCGGGCCGTCGACCACGAGGGAGGATGGACGCCTCGGGCACACCGTCCGGGGCGTCAAAAAGCCACGAGACATGGGGGGAATTGGGCGATGACGTGACGGAAAAAAACGCCCCCACCTTCTCAAAGTGGTGACAATTGAATAGAATTGAACCATCTGCTAAGAGTCGAGTTTTTAAGAGAAAAGCCAAGGTATCCAAGTGAGTCGGGTCCGTCCTGGTCTGTGGGGTCCGCCGTCCGCCTGACACGGCCGCTCCACTGCAGTCGCTGTTTCAGTCGCTGTTGGCGCAAACTGCGGCAAAGCTAAGTCAGAGCTGTAGGTGCTCGCTATAGGTCTATAGTAGATCCACCACGACATCCCATGGCTGCCACGAATCGCGAAGAAACCTCCTCTTTGCCACGGGTGTCTTGGTGTATCTATTGCTCGAATCGTTCGAAGCTTAAGTCACTGAAACCTAGGAAGAAGTGAAACAGTGGGCATGCAACTTATGAGCCACTGTCATTGATTGAATACAGCAATCTAATGCTGGTAGTAAAGCCTGCCTGACAAATTTCTTAGGTGGGACCCTCAACAATGGCATGTTGGTCACTCTGCAATGGCATACAGTCGCTCATCCCAGGCTGAGTGTGCCTTTTGCAAATGGATACTCAAATGGCGCTTTGGCTGAAAAGCCAGCATTGTTGTCAAATGAGTCAAACGAGAGGCGAGACTCCTCAGATACGGATGACAATGAGTCGAAAGAAGCATCTTTACACTGCCACGCTGAGAATCCGGCCTCCTTGCACTCTTTGCTAGAGAAACCATGATTTCTCAACCAGCTGAGAGAGGCACCGTCGTCCTTGAACTGCCTAGCAGAGAAACCCGCATCAATCAACTCCTCATGAGAGAAGCCCGCGTTTCCGATCTCGGAGAGAGAGAAGCCAAGCTCCATGCATTCTTTGGCAGAGAAGTTTGCAACCTCCTTGCACTCTTCAGCCGACAAACCTGCATCTTTGTAGTCTTGTGCAGTGGGTTCACGAGTCAACTCCTCCGTAGAGTAGCCTGCCTCTTGGCACGTCCTGACCTCAAAGCCGACAATCTTGCACTGAATCGCTGGAAAGCCTGCATCCTTAAGCTCTTTCACAGAAAAATCAGCATCTTTACACTGCCACGCTGAGAATCCGGCCTCCTTGCACTCTTTGCTGGAGAAACCATGATTTCTCAACCAGCTGAGAGAGGCACCGTCGTCCTTGAACTGCCTAGCAGAGAAACCAGCACCTATCAACTCCTCATGAGAGAAGCCAGCATTTCCGATCTCAGAGAGAGAGAATCCAAGCTCCTTGCATGCTTTGGCAGAGAAGTTTGCAACCTCCTTGCACTCTTTAGCCGACAAACCTGCATCTTTGTAGTCTTGTGCTGTGGGTTCACGACTCAACTCCTCCGTAGAGTAGCCTGCCTCTTGGCACATCCTGACCTCAAAGCCGACAATCTTGCACTGAATCGCTGGAAAGCCTGCATCCTTAAGCTCTTTCACAGAAAAATTAGCATCTTTACACTCCTTTGCGGAGAAGCCAGCACCTTTGCAGTCTTTGATCGAGAGGCCTCGATCCCTCAACCATTTAGCATCGGCACCAGCCTCTTTAAATTGGCTGGCAGAGAAGCCAGCATCGATCAACTGCTTTTCCGAGAACCGAAGGTCGTAGAGCTCTTGAACCGAAAAGCCAGCCTCCTTGAGCTCTTGGGCAGAAAACCGTGCATCCTTGAGCGACCCTACTTGTTCCGCTTCTTTGAACTGGCCAGCCGAGAAGCCAGCATCACGCGCTTGCTCAGGGGAAAAGCCTGCCTTTGCAATGTCGTTGAGAGAGAAACCTGCCTCTTTGCATTCTTTGGCTGAGAAACGGGCATCTTTGCACGCCCGTACAGCACCTGCTTCCCTGAATTGATTGGCCGAGAAGCCAGCATCACGTGCTTGCTCAGGGGAGAAGCCAGCTTTAATAATCTCTTTGAGAGAAAAGCCAGCCGTTTTGCACGCCGTGGCTGAAAAGCCTTCGTTCCTGCATTCTTCGGCTGAGAAACCTGCATCTTTGTAGTCTTGTGCTGTGGGTTCGCGACTTAACTCCTCCGTAGGGTAGCCCGCCTCTTGGCAAACCTTGACCTCAAAGCCAACAACTCTGCACTGAATCGCTGGAAAGCCTGCGTCCTTAAACTCTTTCGCAGAAAAAATCTGCCTCCTTACACTCCTTTGCCGAGAAGCCAGCGCCCTTGCACTGTTTGGGAGAGAATCCAGCTTCTTTGCACTCTGCAGCTGAGAATCCTTCGTCTTTGCAATCATTGGTGGAGAAGCCTGCCTCCAAGCAATCAGCCGGTGTGAAGCCGGCAACCCTGCACTGTTGCACGCTGAAGCCTGCGATGTCCTTGCACTCTCTTGCCGAGAAACCTGATTCCTTGCAGTTTCCGGTCATGTGTCCTAAATCAAACAAGTCCTTTGCAGAGACACCCTGCTTCAAATAGTCAGCTACAACGAGGTTCCTGATCTCCTCACAACTCTCTTGCAACCAACTCTCCCTCCTGTTTCGTATGGCCTGAAACAGATCAGACTCTCCCACATTCAGCCGCTTCAATAAGTCGCTGGACTCCTCCCTGAGCAACCCCTCGACCAAAAACCGCACTCGCGAATCACCCACTGGTGTAGTTCCCTGAAATCGCTTTTCAATCATTGCTCGCTTTTTCTCCTCCCGAACTATGGCATCCAAGCCTCTTTGTACAGCAGCGGTGCGGTGTGACAACACGGCCCTCTGCAAACCGGGGATCAGAATGCCTTTGGAAATGCTGATAATGGCGGAGATGCCAGCAAATCCAATTCCGTTGGGACCTGCATACCTGAGCACTAGCGCCACACCAATGACTCCTTGTGGTATGTCTTCCGACCATGCTATCAACAGCCGAGCACTGCTCAGGAAATCTACGCAGAGATTGGTGACTCGTCTTTCCATCCATTCACAGCATGTTTCTCCATCGGGATTTGTAGGCTTCAATGGAAGCTCCAAAATGGCCCGGTAGGTCTTTCGGAGGTCTCGTGCGGTGTCTTCAATTTGATTGACTTGGATGTGAGAATGTATTATAACAAAGATGGAAACAACTGCCAGTAGACCTCCATCAGCACACCATCGGAAGGCCTCTTCTGAAAAGCTCACGCACAGAGAGTCAATCTGATGTAAATGGTCAGTGATGAGAATGTAGCAAATTGGAATGATGCAGCAAATAACGCCTGCTGCACTGCCCCCCCGTAATCGTTGCAAACAGAATGGCTCCAGGGATGAACACCCAGAGGTGCAAACGTGTCACAAGTATCACAGCGTAGAGTGCCTGCAAAGGCAGCCAACTCTTCCACACTCCACACAGTCTGAAACCAAAAAGGACAATGTGTTGAAAGAGTTGAAGATGCAAATCACGTTGAAAACTGATGAATGCCAAATGGATGGAAAAACTCTTAGACAAATCAACCATATGATGTCCAAATATGCGGTTCTACCAACCATAACGGTTCGTTGTTTCCCCTTCAGATCTGCCTCTGTTCTGATCTTTGACAGCCTTGAGCTTGTGAAAGTTGGTTTTCCTTTAATTTTATTGAGGAAAAGTCTGAGGTTGACAAAAACTCAAGACAAGCAACCGTTGACAAAACTGCACACACAAAATTGGGCAAGAAAGCTGGAAACCCTCAAAATCACGCTCTCCTCAAGTTGTTCCAACATCAATAGCAAACAAACGAACGAATCGAACCAAGAGCAATGGCCTCCAACCTAAGGGCGATGGCCTCCAACCTAAGAGCGATGACCTCTAACCTAAGAGCGAT